AAATGCCAGTCAGCTGCCAAAAGGAATAAGATATATATTTATAAATATGGAAAAATCTCGAAGATGTGGTTAGATGACAAAAATCTATTTTCAGAACAAAATATAGTATCCCACTTAAAGAAAAAAGTCTGTTAGGGTAGGAAAAGCTGTAGTTAAAAAACGTAAACACCAAAATTTCGGTGACTTAAAGAACAAGAGGTTTATATCTTTCTTGTGGAATGATCCAGGGCTGATGTTTGAGTCAGGTTAGCTTTTGCCCCCTGGCATTAAAAGCTTCAGGCAAAGGGTGACTCTACTATCTTTTGCAAATGCCTTGCAAGCCCACCATCATCAGTTAGAAGGAGGAAAGAGTATTAAGAATCCTGTGAGAGGTTATTGATGTGGATCACTTCAGCCTGGCCCATACATTTACTCACATTTCATTGACTAGAATGCAGATATATGCTCCTAGGTCACATCTAATTGTGTGGGAGCTGGGAAATGTAGTCTAGCTATATATCCAGGAAGCAGAGAAACACATTTTAGAGAACAGCTGGCCTTCTCTGCCTTATCCTAATTACCCTCCCCCAAGGTAAATCACTGTTCATTTGTATGTAATTTTAAATAGATATTTATCAATTAATAGAAAATAATCAGGATACATACTTGAGAATTCATGATGTCCTTTGGGGAAAGGAGTCAGGTTGACAGAGATGTTATATAGGACCTTAACTTTTTTCTTTATATTTTTATCTAATTTCTATTCTATTTTCTGACTCGTATTTATGTATTACTTGTGCAACTAAAAATTAAATTATTAAAGACCAGATAAATGAAGGGAAAGAATTCCTTAAAGTTTATGTAATAGGTTGATTACTTTGATTAAGTACAAAGTTCTCCCAGCATTACTACTCACTTTCATGTTTTGTTTTATAAATCTTGTTCTTGTGATCTCTTAAACAGGTTTTGTGTATCCCAATAGATTTTCTCTCACTCTCTTACTTACATAGGCTCTGTGAGTGCTTGTAGGTGTGTGAATGTCATTTGCTCATACCCAGTTGTGTGAAACTGACTCGAGCAAAATAATACTTCTTTAGATTGTCCTACAACCCATATTGCTAAGCACATGGCAGAGACTCAGGAAATATTTGTTGCCTGCATGAATATATGCGTGCCTGTACGAATGATTACTTACCTAAACCTCATGGTGGCAAAGTTCAGGTTTGTGAAGCTATTGCAAAGTACATGTAGAATGCATTATTAGATTATACAGTTCCTAAGACACACTGAGGTTTTATTTCCAAATGTGTTATATAGCATGAATTATTCATAAGTCAGAATCATGTAGACTTAAGATAATTATGCACATTGAATATCCATCTGTACTACTGTAGTAGTTCTTACCATCACCAGGGGTGCTTTTAAGAAACGCAGATTCCCAGATCCCACTCCAGACGTGCTGAATTAGAGTCAAAGGCTTAAGTCCAGTAATTTCTAGGAAGCACCGCAGGTGATTCTCATGTAGCCAGCGCCACACTGGTCTTCCCACTGGCATTCTGGAAACTACTGTTCTATGAAATCTGGAATGGGACCTGCCAAGTCTCCCTAGTAAACACCACCATAGTCTGTGTGAGTTTTTTCCCTTTTTATTTGAGAAACATTTCAAACACACAGAAAATATATATCAACCACTAAGGCCATATTGTTAAGATATTACTTATATTCGGTTAATTAAAAAAATAAATATTACAAAGACAGCTATCCCTCCACCCTCATCCTTTCCTTCTCTGTCTTTCCCTAGCAATAACCACTGTCCTGGTATGTAACATTTGTCAATGTGCTTTAACCAAAAACTACCAGGAACATACCTGTAGTTGAACAAGTTGGGTTTATTACTCATTGCAGCAAAGGAAAATGCATACCATAGGGAATGGTGAGTTATCTCCGTGAGAAAGTGTTAGAAAGACCCTACTACAGGATTTGTGTTTTGGTTGGGTAATTTTGGGGAGGTCTACGGAGGCAGGGAGTTACTCTGGATTGGACGCCATCAGACTGTGGGGACAATTTTATGATTGGATATCTCAGTAAATCTTTCCTATGGGAAGGACCTAGAGTGACTATGAAGCTGTAATTAGTGAAGAAGTAGCAGTCATTCACTTAGAGGAGATGATGTTTGGTACTTTGTGGATTGCATGATGACCTTGTGTGAAGTGGATATTCTGTGTGACTACTTACATCCAACAGTGGAACAAGGCTTAACTTCAGTGTCGGATCAGATCAGTTTATAATAACACTGAGATTTAGACGTGAGCATCAGATCAATTCCTGGATGCCAGGAGCTGCTCTTCTCACTTGGCAAGTGCTTCTAATTTTACTACCTATAAGTGAATTCGCAAAAAGCATAGACTGCTTTTTAAAATATCATTGTATCATAATTTGAAAGGCAGCCTCCTCCACTCAGGTATTTAGGAACCAAAACTGATAGAGACTCCACCACCTTCAATGCACAACTTCCAACATTTCCTTGAGGGCTGTCTCTGTTCCACCCAGGAGAACAACGTATGGAGGCACATGCGTGGGAATTTTCTAATAAGTTAGTACTGGACGTGGCATTCATCACTTCTCACATTCCAATGGTCAAGACGCGATCATATAGCCAACCTTAGCTGCAAGGGAGGCTAGGAAATGTAGCCAAGTTGTGTGGCCAGAAGAGGAGAATGTAAATTTTCATGACCATTTAGCAGTCTCTGCTACAACTGTATTCTGTTGAGGCAAGATTTTCTTGAAGAGACCTTTCAGGATATGCCATAGAAATCAACATAAGAATGAGCAGGAAGGATCCTTAAAAATCCTAAGTTGGACATGAGTAAATTTTATTTTGTACTATGGAGAATAGAGGAAGAAATCTTTTATGCTTGGATCAGAGTGACAAAGTGGAAGAGAACCACCCCTCTCCAACAGGCTGCAGAGTCACAGTAGTGATAATACCAAGAAACCCGAAGGGCAAGGTGAAAATAGTGCTAGAGTCCAGGGTTCTTAGTCCAGTTGGACTTCCCACAAGGTTGGTTTTCCTTCGTTTGCCCCTCAAGCAGGTTCTACATCTTACTTTTATTAAATATAACCACAGTTACCTACAGGGATCCCACTTCAGTTCAACCAATATATGGAAATTTTATTATATACCAGGGACTAATGCTAATAGTAGAAAAACACGAGTTAGTGTAGTAAAATGGGACTTCCTTTGTATAGTTGATCACTTGACAGTAATCCACATCCTCTGCAGGCCCCTACCTGTATTCCTCTGGCAGTCCTGTGGCCTGTCACTCTGCTTTATATCCTGCAGCATGAGTGGGGTAGTGATAATTGGCACAAGGGCCACAGCTAGAGGCTAGCTATGCAGACAGCTTTGTGCTTGGTGTTGGCAGGTAAGATGCAGCAGTCAGTAAACTGAGGGGCTGCCTGTCAACTTCGTCTGAAGTTTCCTCCTTGCTTGTCACAGTGTTTCTTTTTCACTGCTTTCTCCTATGGTCTGCACTCAGGATATTCAGAGATCTCATCCAAACTTCTGGCATCGCTCTTCTTTTTATACTTTTGACTGATGACTTCATAAAGCCCCAGACAGTAGGGCAGCTTCCAGACCCTGCGACTTCATTAGTCTCCTTGTCTATTCTGGGCAAGATAAGTAATCCAAGACAAATGGAAAGGCTGCTCGTCTCAACTGCTGAATGTTTCTCAGGGTTATGTTTCTCAGGGTTCTGTACGTTGCTTCACTTTTATTTCTTCCTTCCCCAGATCAAGCTTCTGACCTTTTTCAAATGCCATGTTCTACCTAAGTAATTATTTGAAGTGGTGTTGGCACCTGTTTAATTTCTAATTCCTTGTTTTCCCCCTACACTGGATGCCATTTGTTCTTACCAGATACTTTGCATTTCCTTTGATGCCCATGTCCTAAGTACTTGATGAATTAGATCTTAGCATTAGGCTTAAAATGTTAGGGGGAAGCAGAGGGCTAGCAGGAGGGAGGGAGGGAGATGGGAGCAGGCTGCACAAGTCTGGGGCAATATAAGTCAGTGCTCAATGAGGTATGTGGCTGTGAATGTGCAATGAAGACATAAAAATCCCACAAATTACATGAGAAAAGGACAGAGGGGTAGAAATTAATCAAGGTAGGCAGAACAGGCCAGGCACTGAGGGTAAGGGCTAGGAAATCCAGTGTTCTATGCTTGGCATAAGTGAGAGGGGAAATTGGGGTGGTGGTTTGGATTTTTAAGGTAAAAACAGAGAGCTTCTTATTTAAACTGAGGACATTTCTAGGTCAGTTTTTCAGAGCTAAAAAGAGATATTAGAAATGCAATCTAGAATCAGCAGCACTTTTTAACCTCTATGGAGGCTTTTTCCCCTCTCTGAAACAAAATGCAAAGGACTGTGTGTGTGTGTGTGTGTGTGTGTGTGTGTGTGTCAACAGAGGGTCCACTTTTGCTTTCAGAGTCCCAAAGGGCTCTGTGATCCATAAATGGAAAAGAGCTGCTGGATTAGAGGGTCTGTGCATCCTGACAGCGGTCAAAGCCATGAGGGAGATGAGATGAGAGGGTAAAGGGCTTAATGTAAAACTGGCGTGAAGCAGGATGTTGTAGGGCGTGAATGTTCGGCAGCTCCACCCTGAAGTCTGAGTGTTAAGCATTAAATGTTCAGATAGGAAATTAGGGCCCCGTGCGGTGGAATGTGCTCTGAGAGAGGACTTGTATTTATGTCAGTAACACAAAGTGGAAAAAATGAGGCCATAGGTTCACCTTTCATAAACGTAGTTTTATATTTTTGAAATATTGTTCTTGAAGAATGCAATCTTGCAATCGCATTCTGTTTTGATTTCTACTACACCTTGTTCTCAGCGTAACTTTCTGTTCTGCCGAGGACAATTTTAGTCATCACCCACATAAGTCTAGGTTAGTATCCAAAGGAACAATAAAGAATTATATTCATATTTTTGTGAAGGCACTAACACCTGTTTGTGTTCCTGGTAGCAAAACCACCGAGTTCTTGAGCAAACTGAACGTAGAATCGCCAGACAGAAGTGCCTGTCAAAGTGCTGTTTGTGGCCCACAATCCTCAACATGGGTAAGTGAAATGCTATGCAGGGTGCTGCCTGGCACATTTTATAGAGGTATTTAGTGACTGAAGATTAGGGATATAGAGTGACTTGTACATCACAGAATGCTGGAACTAAAGACAGATGACCTGATCCGAAACTTTGACCTCAACTGTTGCCTGAGCTATGAAATAATGCTTGTATTATTTTATGGGCACCTGGACTAAAACAGCCTCAGAGAAGTCCTTCCTCTCACCCAATCATTCATTTAGCCACTCATCCACCCACCCATCCATCCATCCTTCCATCCTTCCATTCTTTAAATTCATAGGTCTATATAAGGCCTACTGAGTGCCTACAGTTTCTGCCCAGTGAAGCTTAGTAAAGGAGAACACCATTGGTTTTAAAGCAAACTGCTGAGCCCAGAGCATATCACGATAAGAGAGCACTACTGCCTTATGAGGAAGAAGCATCTAAGTCAGACCATGTGTGTTAGATGCTTCCTGGGAAATGACACCAGAGTGGAAGCTTAAACTATGAATCAGTAAAGTGATGAGTCTTTCCAGGTATCAGAATTAATAAAGATACATAGAGTAACAGTTAAGGTATAAATGCAAGAAATAAGTATGGCTTGTGTTGCAGAAGAAGATTTATGTAGCCACAGTGCAGAAAAGTGAGCTAGTAGGATATAGAAGTGAGCAGGAACCATGAGGACCCTTTCCCAGTGGTGTTACCTCTGGAAATTCAGATGGGACAGTTCATTGTGTGAGTTGTCTTGAGTCCTGCAGGATGTTTAGAATCCCTAGCCCCTGGGCATGAAGGGTTAGTAGCGCCACCCAGACACTGAGACATCTAGAAATGCCCCCACACAGTGCTTACCAATGAGACATGTAGAAATACCCGCATACTGCCTGCTCGTGGTGCTCCTGGTAGAAAACCACCACAGAAATTTGCATGCCACCTTGAAACACCTAAACCTCATTCTGTGGGTACTGAAGGTATTGAAAATTTTTAAACAGGGAAATCTCAGGGTTGGATTTGTGTTTTCATTCTGGATCACATTGGTAACATTGCGAAGGATGGCTCTAGAGGCATAGAGAAGCAGAGAGGCCCCCCAAGGCTTCTGTATCAGTCTGGGTGAAGGATGATGAAGACTTCAGCCAGGACAGCAGGGGAGAGGATGGAGAAGAGAGTGCAGGTCAGAAAACTGCTTAGAAGGTGAAAGCAGCAGGGCTTGGTTATTGACTTGCTAATTGGGGACAAGAAAGTAAGTGTTATTAAGGATGACTCTGGGTAAGGGTTGTAGCTGAAAGAAAAGATGAATTTACGTTTCTTAAAGTCTCAGGTTTCTCAGGGTTTGGGTAGCTAAATCAGTTGTTAACCCTTATCTTCATCTCCCCTTACCGCTTTCTCAATAGAACCCTCATCTTCATCTCCCCTTACCCCTGTCTCGATAGAGACCGTGTTTTTAAATGTCAGGAAGATATTATGACACTCCTTAGGAAGAGGTCATTATACTCCTACTTAGAAACCTTTAGTTGTTTCCTATTTTTTTTTTTTTTCTGCTTCTAATGTGATGTTCTAAAGTCTAAATTCGTGAGTGTGGGCCCTACAAGTTATATTAAAGGAAATCCATCATCTCTTCCCTCACTGCAGGGCTCTGGGGGCAAGAGTTGAGAGCTGTAGGCAGTGGAGTTAAATCATGTGTAGATGGCAGCCCTAAACACCCGTCTGGATATCCTTGTGGCTGTGAGGGAGGGAGAGGGAGAACAGGAGTTGGATAGCTTTACCGACTGGATTTTCACCTACCAGGCTGGTCTTCCTTTCCGTTTGAGGGCTCCCTGTGTCCTCTGATGTGGAACACCTGGCAGAACTGCGTGTGCTGCTCTATTGATTTTGGCTCATTTCTTCAATTTAACAAGATCATCCTGAATTTTAATACTGTCGTCCAAAGCATTAGCAATGTTTCCCAGAGCTGCATTTTCTGTGGATTGATTAGTGCATTTGTCATAGGATCCTCAGAGCTATTAATAGAAAATATGGAGTGGGATTGGACCCAGGATGGTTCCTTATAAACTGCACGCAATAGCTGCTCTAATTTTGACCCCAAACTGTTAATACAGTTTCAGTGTTCAATATATTTAATTGACTTTTTACCCATATTATACTCTTCTCATTCTGTCTAATCCATATGCGTAGAATTCTTCTGAGAATGCTTTGCAGAACCATTTCTAATGCTTTAGGAAAATCAAATATGTACCTTGCACTTCTGTGGAGAACATTTCTTTGGAAAAAGAGGACACCTGCAGTTTACTGTAGCTATGGTCAACGTATAGAATGTGAACGCTCTGTGATTCCCATCTATATGGGGTGTGATGAGTTGGAAGAATTTATATGTATATTTTTAATACTTTAATTTTACTACCTAATGTAACTTTCCTAAGATTTTTCCTCTTGTGCTTTTCTCCTTTAAAAGTGGATCTGCCGTTGGCAGATTGGGATTTAATAAATACTGGAAAATTATGTCAATGTAAAAGATTACAAGAAAAATCCTTTAGTGGTTACAAGAAAGTTCCTTTTGGCTTAGGACTTCAGACAAGAGATATTTACAGGGTTCACTTTTACATGTGGATTAATGCAGTTCTCTGTATTGTGTGGGTAGGCAGAAGTACCAGCATCATCAGACCTCCCTCAGCAACCATCACTGCATATTTCTAGTTAAATGTGAAATGGTTTCTAGTCTCTGGTTTTATGCCCCCACTTTTTTTTATCTTTTATTTTTTAAATTTTTGTAGACAGGGTCTCACTCTGTCACCCAGGCTGGAGTGCAGTAGCGTGATCTGGCTCACTGCAACCTCCACCTCCCAGGCTCAAGCCATCCTGCCATCTCAGCCTTCTGAGTAGCTGGGACCACAGGCATGCACCCCCATGCCCTGCTAACTTTTGTAGTCTTTGTAGAGACAGGGTTTTGCCACATTGCACAGGGTGATCTCAAACTCCTGGGCTGAAATGATCCACCCACCTTGGCCTCCCAAAGTGCTGGGATTACAGGTGCAAGCCACCGCACCAGGCCTTACGTCTCTACTTCCTCAACAAAGAATAACGATGTGAAAAAATCTCATCCTGGTGTTTCACTTCCCCAAATCATTCAGTGGTCCCCCATATCTTCAAGGATAAAATCAAAATATCTTAGCTTAGGCACAAAGCTCTTTCCTCTCTCTGTCCCTCCCTCCCTCCTTCAATTCTAGATTCTGTCTCTTTCTTTACAATGGCCCCTTTTTAGTCCTCTAGGGTCTGCAGGACTGGCCTTGAGTCTAAATCTTTGCTTCTGCAAAGGGGTAAGGGGAAGCAAAGCTTTTGAAATCAGGAGCAAAGATTTCAATGCAGACCAATCTCAGGCCCCACTGCAGGCCTCCTGAATCAGAGCTTGCATTTAACACAATCCATGGGAGATGTGTGTGCATGTTGATGTCTGAGGGGCCGAGCTCTCTAGCTCGTGCCTCTCCAGCTGTCCTCTCTCACACTACTGTGAGCACTCAGTGCAGGTTGGTTATTGTAATTTTTATCTACGTGTCACATGCTCATTCATTACGAAGTCAAATAAAATACTTACTATGTGTCCCTTTGCTCCACTTGAATTCCACTTCCACCCCAACACTTGGAACACTTAGCATTTCCCATTGCTGCTGTAACAAATTACCACAAATGTAGTGACCTAATAGAACAAACATTTATTCTCTTACGCTTCCGGAGATCAGAAATAAAAATGAGTTTTAAAATGCTAAAATGAGGTTATCAACAGGGATGGTTCCTTTTGGAGGCTCCAGGGGGCATCTGTCCCCTGTCCCCCCAAACCCTTGGCACATGGCTGCATTGCTCCAATTTAGCTTCCATCTCACCCAACCTTCTGCACCCTCCCTGACCTTCTTGGCTTCCTCTTATAATGACCCTTGTGATTACAATGGGCCCACCTGGACCATCCAGGCTAATCTCTTCATTTCAAGATCCTTAATTTCTGGAAAGTCCCTTTTGTCATATAAAGAAACATTCACAGATTCCAGGGATTGGGACATCTTTGGGGGGCCATTATGCAACCCACCACCTGTTTCTTTTCTTAGTTAGCTCTGAATATCTGTTAATATGTGTTGATATGTCTTGACTAATCAATTTTAGACCTTATTAACTCATTTCTTCCTCTCATTCTTATAATTATTCAGTAATTTGAGCTTTCCCTTTTATGACTATATAAACATTTTCTCACTGCCAAGCCAGTTGGTATACTGTGGTTATATCTTCCTGTAAAACTCTTTGAACATATTTTATTTTAGCGTTTTCTTAGTTTCCTTTGAACATTTGACGGTCTTCTGACAGCTTTTGTGACTGTTCTACAAAATGCCTCTTGATGCAGATTTCTAAACAATTTTCCAAATTACACCTGTCAGATAACCTGTCGATTTTTTTTTTTCCTCTCTCTCCTGGATCCCTCTTTCCTCCTGCTTTAACCTGTCCTGGGTGTTTGTAGGCCTGGTGCACAGCCGTTGTTCTGGGACTTTCCTTTAACACAATAGTTCTCAGCCTCCTCTGCACACTGGATTCACCTAGGGAGCTTTAAAAATCACAGACACCTGGGTTACACCTCCAGAGAGCCTGCTGTATTGTGGCCTGGGCTTCAGGGTTTCAAAAAGCTCCCCGGGTGATTCTAATGTGCAGCCAAAGTTGAGAATCACTGTTTTAAAGTTATCTTGGGAATTGCTTTTATTGCTTTCCTAAGTTGGGTTCTCTGATTTCTGAGCCTCATTTCTTCTATTTTCTTGCTTTATTTCTTTGTTTTGGTGGAGCATATTACTTAGTAGCTTCCCAAGAGAAGACACATGGAAGGTAAACATGTTCAGGTCCTTCCATGTCTGAAACTATCTTTATTCAGCTCTCACACTTTGCTTGCATTTTTATTGATGACTATTCCAAACTGGACATATTTTTCCTCCAGAATTTTGAGGCATTGCTCTTCTAACTTTGGGTACTGGTTCCTGAGAAATCCAAGGCCATGTGAATTTCAGGCTTTATGTGGGGGATTTTCTCTGTTTCCCCTGAAAATACTTTAATATCATCTTTTCTTTTTCTGGCATTCTGTAATGATGTGATTTAGTGTGAAAGTCTTTTTGAAATTGATTTTCAATCTAGAAATTCATCTCTAGTTCTAGATGATTTTCTTGTGTTATCTGTTTGATTTATATCCCTTCATTTTCTCTTTTTGGAATTTCTATTTTTATTCAAATTGTAGACCTCCCAGGTTTATCTTCTAACTTTAGAGATTTTCTCCTGTAAGTTATCTTTGACTATCTTTTTTCTATATTTTGGTGTATTTTCTTGACTTTATCTTCTAAATATTTTACTGATTTGGGTTTTTTTGGGGGAAGAAGGGGAGATTTTAAAAAAAATTCTCCAAACTCCTCCTTTTTTCTTTGTTACTTAAAAAAAAAAGAAATATATATATATAATTTCTTACCTCTCAGCAGAAACAGTACAGGAAGCAGAAGAGAACTCCAAAGAGAGGGACTCAGAGGCTCACTGGTCAGTATGCAGTACTTTATAGAGTCATTTCATTCTCTGCCTGGCATTTGTCCACTGCTGCTGTCTTTACATGTATGCCCGGTTTAGTTTCTCCAGAAAATACACTTTTCATTTCCTATTGGTGTTGGGTGAATTAGCACCGGGATTTTCAAGGCAGGAGCAGGTATATGGGGGTGAAGGGTTTCTACTGAGACTGTCTAGTAACTCCTTTCTTTTACCTGCCTGTTACCCAGCTGTCTTCCTCAACAGCTGATGCCTCCATTTCTTGGGCCCTCATGTTGCTCTGTGGAGAGAACTGGCTCCCCATGCGTGTCCTCTGGCCCCTTCCAGCAAGTCTTCAGGTTTGCTCTTTTCCTCTCTAAGTCACTTACTGTTTCTTTATCTACTTTGTCTTCATAGATTTTCCTCTGTGAATATGGATCTCTTGGTTTTTGAAGATAGAGCTTGTGTATATTTCATTTTCTGCTCTGTTTCGGGTAATTTTGGGGAGAATGGAACAGGAACATCTTTACTCCACCATCCTGAAAGGAGAACTTAATGCTTGTCATAGGTCGAGACCCACACTTCTCAAAATTTGTGTGGAAGCCCTAACCCCTAGCACCTCAGAATGTGACCCTATTCAGAGGTAGCATCTTTACAGAGGAAATAAGTTAAAATGAGGCTCCTAGGTGGATTCAAATTCATTATGAAAGATGTCCTTATAAAAAGGGGAAATCGGGACACAGAAGCATGCATACAAGGGAGAGGATATGAAGACACGCACAATGAAGATGGAGTCTGCAGGCCAAAAAGAGAAGCCTGGAACAGATATTTCTCACATGACCCTCAGAAGGAACCAACCCTGAAGACACCTTGATTTTGGACTTCTAGCCTCCAGAACTATAAGATAGTAAATTTCCATTCTTTAGGCCACCAGTATCATAATACTTTGTTATGGAAGCCCTAGCAAACTCATGCACTGCTATTTTCCATTTGCTCATTTGATGCTCTTCTCCCTGCATAGTCTGATTCCTACTCACTCTTTGAAATATAACTTAGTCTCACTTGATTTGGAAAGTGTCCTCAATCTAGTTTAATTAAATATCCTTCTTTTTGGCTTCTTCTATCATAATAGCTATCATGCTGTACTGTAACCTTTAATCTTCTAGTTTGACTTTCACACTAAGCTATAAATGCTTGAGGTCTGAAGTCGTGTCCTGACACAGTGCTTGCACAGAGAAGGCTTAAAGACTGTTAATTGAATGAGTACATTATAAGCATAGCTTTTGGGGAGGATAAATAAAAGTGTATTTTGGTTGAATGACAAAATATAGCATTGATATTGTATTAAATGGATATTTCAGTGTTAGAAAAATTGTGTGAATACAGTGACTTAGAAATTTCTGGTGTTTAGAGCTAAGAAAAATAGTGATCAATTTATTCCCTTCTATTATTTTTGAACAGAAACTTCCTGTCCTGCCTAGGGATCACAGCTGGGTAAGCAAGCATTAGGATTGCAAGTAACTGAACTTTTCGTAAGTTCAGATGCCATGTGACTTCCCAGTTTCTGTGGACCTTTATAAGGCACCTTATTTAATAATAAGATATTTAAGAACCACTTTTTTCTGAGTCAAAAACTAAGACGTGTATTCTAATAAAAGAACGACAAAAATGACAAGTTTAAAGGGAGGTTATTCAGATAGAATTTAGATACCTCATTCAAGTTGTAATTTTGCATTAACTAAATATTTTATTCTACCTTTTAACGTCTTAAGTAGAAGCTGTCTTCTCTCCTTTCCTTCTTTCCTGTCCTCTCTTCCCACCCTCCTTCTCTCCCTCCCTTCTTCCCTTCCTCACTAGGTCTTACATGGAATATTTGTGATAAAGACTAGCCTTCTCTAATATAAAAAGAAGGGGTTATCAGAAATAAAAAGAAGGGATTATCAGAGAATCACTTTTCCCCTTCTATGTCTTAGCACAGTCCCCTTGAGTTTAGGATGCAAGTAAGAGAAAAAGTCATAGGATGTATGTTTACTTGCCCAGGATTTGGGTAAACCAGGGATTTCTGAACACATGAAGCTCCAGTTTTCCAGCTGGCAGTACCATAGATGATACCATTTTGAAGGCTTCTCTCTTTTTCTGGGAAGTGGTTCTTATTTTTTGATGGTATGTGGATTTTTATAGTGACAGAAATGGGAGAGTGAACTAAGAAGTGCTTGAGAAAAGTTATATAAAAGTTCATGTAGGTTGGAAAAAGGGGGAAACCAGCCTACCTGAACTTTATGGGTTATTAGTCCTGAGAACTAGGTCTGAAGTATGTAACCTGCTGCCATGATGCTGCTGGTAGTTTTTTATGAGATCCACATAATTTCCTAAGCATTAGCTCTTTGCCTTATAGAAGCTGGGGCTGCAGATCAATTGAAGGAGAGAAAGCATATGACAAATAAACAGAACACTTGAAATGCCATACATTTCAGAACACACGGTCACTGTGCCCGGGTGTGGAACTCTGGCGTGGTGGGTCAGAGACACTGAAGGGCATTCTCCCTCATGTGCTGGCTTGCCAAAGGCTTTGGTGTCATGTGTTCCTGAACAGGCTTTGTTTTGCTTTTCAGAAATAGAAATAAGCTTCATTCAGATTAGGGATGCAAGCACTTAGAAAATACGCATCCTTGAAATTATATGGTATCAACCACTAGTTGACAAGCTGCTTAATCAGATATCATTAATGAGCAGTAGACATGCCAGTTCTTCTAAAGACAGTGCCACTATTGCTTGTCTTTAATACTGACTGATCAACTAGTTGGAATATTCTGGAAAATGTCCTAAACTTTCCACTAGAAGGAATAAACTATGTTGATTATCTCTGAGGGGATATTTTTAAAGCTTACTTAAACATTTAGATCATCCTTTCAAATGTGCAGGATGATTGTGCTTACACTTGTTTTCTTTTTGTATATCCCAAGGGACATTTTCAGACATTTGCGTAAATCACTCAATAACCAAGTGTGTATGGAGAGCTTACTATATGCTCAGTACAGAGGTTGAGTTATTAGCACCAGGCCCATAGTAGGCAGCTTGGTGTACTGTGACAATACTTTATTCTATCAAGTTGTTTTTTTTTTCTCTCTCTCTCTACCTTTACAGGCCAGAAGCTGGGCTTATAGAGATTCTCTAAGGGCTGAAGAAAATAGAAAATTGCAAAAGATGAAGGATGAACAACATCAAAAGGTACTTACAAGCCCCTACTAGTTATTGCTAACTGTTTATTTGAGGTACTAGATAATTTTGAAGAATTTCTGAACAGAAATATTTAGAAACATGAAAATCTTGAAAACAAGAATACAAGCATTGAAGGTAAAAGGTGAGTTTCTGGATGTGTCTTAAGAGTATGGTGGTGGCTCCTTCTGGTCAAAACTTTCATGGTACCTAGCCTCGTGGAGTCACAGGGGATCTGCTGTAGTTGGTGCCAGTAGGTCACAAAGAAGATGATAGAGCACTGGTGAACTATCTGCAAAACAAAACACCACCACCATCATTGCTATTTTTAAACCAAAGATACATAAAATTAGAGATGGTATCCAGAGAATGTGATAATGTATAAGAAAGTAGGCTTGCAAAGTTATGAAACTGACATAAATATTCACTAAAAATAGTTATACACATACATTAAAACAAAGTTACACTACACGGGTATAAAAATATGTGAGGCATTCCATATGTTTTGAGCAATGGAAATCAGTGAAATGAATGCAGAGTGTTCTAAGAAAAGTGCTTAAAGAATAATCTTCATTACAATATGAAATTTCTGGTATGGTAACTGAAAATAGTCAGTGGCATACTTGGCGGTCATACCTGCTTTTAATAGGCCAGAAGCTCCTCAGCATGAAATGAGAATGACGAGAAAGACCCATGGTTAGCTCCAAAGTGCCACTTTATTTCAGATCCTTTAAACAAGAAAGAAAGGGAGTGGGGTGGGGCTGGAACTAACTAAATAATTGATCTTTCCCAACATTCTTATTTTCCAACATTTCCTCTTGCTATACTAGTGGTTGACAAATCCTGTCACTATTTCTTATAGAACATTTCTGAAATCTCTATCTTCAATTCTATAATTAACTAGAATTCTAGCTCCCATTTTGATTTCCTTGATTTGGTTTAATTTACTTTTTCTTTGTCTTTCCCCAACAAGGTAACTTATTACAACAATGGTGTATAAAAATTCCATTGAAAAATGAACTATTTGTACTAACTGATGTTGCTAGAATTTGACCCTTTTGAGTGCTATCTTCTTCCCAACACTGTGGAAATCCTTTCTCATTCATAGTTTCACCCAGCATATGGTATAAATGTGTCACTAGGGTATTTTGTGTACCACAGGTCATTATTAAATCACTGAAAGAAATCATGTCAGTTGTAAATTTACTTATTTAGCTCCTATGTAAGCAAAGACGAACCATGAAACACTTTTATCTCTTAGTGTTTTTTTTCTTTTAATAAATATCTTTTTGTCTTGACAAGATCCTAATCTTGAAATCAATTAAATAGGCAATGTTATGGTAAGATTCTAGTAGTTAACAAGTAGAAGCTAAATCTGGTACATAGTCATGTTGTACTTTTAGTGATGTCTGCCAAACGACATAAAGGTGTTCATCTGTTTCTATGAGCTTTTAACTTAACATAAAATTGTGATGTACGTAGCATACTAAGGTGAATGTTGCAAAGTCAGTTGTAGATATGATTTATTTTTAAATAACTTCTAGTGGATTTTAAATAGCGTTTTTAAAAGTTTGGTATATATATTTGGAACATAAAAACTATTAAAAGTAGAACATTTGACAAAGAATGCTTAACAAATTAGAATACTAGATCTAGGATTTAATTTTCGGGTTGAGCAGTTATTTTAAAGAGTGAAAATTAAACTTTTTATTTCTTAATCTTGTTTTTATTCTAGGCTTAGATAAATATTGATATATATATATTTTCTGGTTATTGATTGACCATATTTTTATTATATATCCTTTTACATACATTATTTCCTTTTACTTACTGTAGCTTTCAGTAAAATGAATAACTTTAATATATAAATAATTCCATCATTAGGGATTTCAGTAACAGTAGACTACACAAGGATATTTATCCGTCTATTCTACCTTACTTTTGCTTTTCTCTTGTTTTGCCTGACGTGTTGTTGTTGGGAAATGTTCATTGAAGGCATTTCCTTTTTTTTTGAGACCAGGTCTCACTGTCACCCAGACTGGAGTACAGTGGCGTGATCTCGGCTCACGACAACCTCCGCCTCCCAGGCTCAAGTGATTCTCCTGCCTCAGCCTCCCAAGTAGCTGGGATTACAGGCACATGCCACTAACACCCAGCTAATTTTTGTGTATTTAGTAGAAACGGGGTTTCACTATGTTGGCCAGGCTGGTCTCGAACCCCTGACCTCAAATGACCCACCCGCCTTGGCCTCCCGAAGTGGGATTACAGACGTGAGCTACCACACCCGGCCTAAGGCATTTCTTTATTTGTAGACCCTTTCATTCCTTATTACTTGAATTGTTTACCTTAAGAAAATGGGAGGATCATGTTTACTATAAGAAGATACAAAACACAATACATTTTTATCATTGCACCCATTTATGTTTGTTTTTTCCATTCATTCAACAAATATTTATTGGATACCTACTATGGAATAATTCTTAGGTAAATAATCTAGGTTAAGTTTAGGTGATAGCACATAAGTTTTGTTCTATGTGTCTCTCTGACTTTCACATTTTTAATTACTCTTGGCTCTGGGGACAAAAAGAGCCTCCTCAAGCTTAAACTCTAAATGTTTTACATGTGATTCACTTCCTTCTTCTAGAAATTTATTTGTAATTCCTCTTTTTTCTATATCTTCAATACATTCTTCTCCATCAGATACTTCCTTTTTTTGTCAGAAATATGCCACGGTTGGTGCCAGTAGGTCATGAAGAAGATGATAGAGCACACGTGAACTTCTCATCTCATCTTACCATTCTAAAATAAACCAGCTAACCCCTTCCTTGATTTTGCTATCCTCGGAGATATTACCTTTTCTGCTTCTAGCAAATTTAAAAAAAGACAAAGGTAATTTTACTGTAACCACTTCTTGATTATCCACTTCATCCTTAATTCCTTATGATCTGGTTTATATTCACAAATGCTGTTACTGAAATTGCTTCCTAAATGTAAAGTCCCTTCTGAACATACAGTTTAGTGGTCTTTTTGTAATTCCTGTCTTTTCCCTGAACTCTGTAACACTAACACCACTTTAAAGCTTTCCTTTTCTGGCTTTTTTTTTTTTTTTAACTGTATTTTTCTGGTTGATCTGTCTCAGAGTAATCTCTCCTGGCACTCATTCATTCATTCTATCGGCAAACATGTATTGAGTTCCTGTTATATACTGAGCCTTGCGCAAGTTGCTGAAGCTATAATTAAGATCAGGATAAGTTTCCAGCTCTCCTGAAATTTACATTTTAATGGAGGAAGTAGACTATTAAAAGGAGACAAACAAATACAATATTATACTTGTAAATTTTCTAGTGATTCATCACCTTGTAGTTATTTGTAGTAACTAATTGTGTCAGTTATCTCATTACTATGAAGAACTATCTGAGATTGGGTAATTTATAAAGAAAAGAGGTTTAATTGGCTCACAGTTCTGCAGGCTATACAGAAAACGTGGCTGGGAAGGCCTCAGGAAACTTAGAATCACGGTGGAAGCCGAAGGGGAACGAAGCACATCTTCACATGGCCAACTGGAGAGAGAGCAAAACGGGATGTGCTATATACTTTTAAACAAACAGATTTCCTGAGAACTCACTATCATGAGAACACAGGGAGGAAATCTGCCTCCATGATCTAATTACCTCACACCAGGTCCCTCCCCCCAAATTGGGGATTACAATTCAACATGAGATTTGGCTGGGGACATAGAGCCAAACCATAACCCCAATGCTACAAGGAAATAAATTATGTGTTGTGATAATTTCAGAGTGTTGTGATAATTTCAGAGTGATGTATCAAATATTGTTGGTTGCCTGCCTCTCTACAGCTCTGATTTTTCTTCAAGTGTCCGTTCCACTTTGCATGAACTGTGTTTCAGAAAAGACAGGTTCTACCCCAGCTCCAGGATTCATTCCCAAAGTGGTTTAACTCTTCATGAGAATGCCGTTCTCCTTGACTGCAATTGGTTTCACTGTGGACATGTGATACAGTTTTGACCAATGAGACTAAGGGGAACCTACCTTTGAGGATAGATTTTATCAATATGAAGTATACTACTTTTTGCATTTAATGATTTGTCAGCTGGGTTTCTTTTTTGATTGTTTTGTCTGATTCTAATAATTCCTCAACCAGTTTTTTTTGTTGTTATTGTTAGCATTTACATGACATTTCTTTGATCACTTAATTTTAACATCTCTGTATCATGGTTTGAAGTAGATTTTGAGTGGAAAAAATGGTTTTCCTTTTACCTAGTTTCAGAATATCTTTTAATGGGTAGATTGATGTGTTCTCATTTATTATGATTACTAGCACATTTGCATGTATTTGTATTCTTACTACATGATTTACTTTTTATTAGTTATGTTTTCTTTTTTTTACTGACACTGAATTTTCTGTTTCATTTATTTACTGTTTTTTTTCGTCTCTCCACTGCCCCTTCCTGTACTATAAGAAATTTCAGTGTTTCTATTTTTGTTTCTAATCTTGCATAGCCTTTGGTTGTCTCTTTTAATCTGAAAATACATGTCTCTCTTCAGTTCTCCTTTTTTCTTCCTAATTTTCTTTTATGTCTCTTTACCCATATTGTCTTTGCTCTCCATTTCTGGGACATCTATCAAATGGACTTTGGACATTTCAGATCTATTCTGTGTATACCTTCATTGTTTTCTTATACTTCTTATCCCTTTGGCCTTTTTTCTTTTAATTGGATTCTGGAAGAAAGCTTTAGCTAGATCATCCTGCTCACTAAATTTTTTTCTTGGCTTTTCGTTCTGCTTATTTGGCACATGTTGAGTATGTCTATTTACCAAGATTGCTGATTTGGGAAGTAGCAGTGTTCTGCTTTGTAAGTGCAGTATTCTTTCTCATCTCATTTTACTTAATGTTTGTATGTTTGTAGCTATACAAACATTAAAGTTTTCTATTTACCATATTAACTGTTTTTTTTTTTCTTTCTATTTTAATCTTTATCTCCCATGGAATTC